TTTACAAATAAGTTTTTTATTTTTTATATTTTAAAAACATCTCTTTTGGTGAACAATGTGGTTCCAGGTTTTTACATTTCAATACAAATGTGGCCTTGATTACATATTCTTTTATCATAACTAATTTCATATCATTTATCTTCATCACAATTATTATATTCATTTCCAATTCATATCAAAGCTTATTTCATTTTTCTTTAAATATTCTCATATCTTATTTTAAAGGTATCTAAAATTCTTACTTCATTTCTATATTCATTATACTTATATATTTTTATCTGTCACATTTGCATTATCACACACTTTTATTTCATTCACTATTCAATTAATTTCATCATAGTTCTAATAATTCAAGAAACAAATTACCCACTTTAATTGTCAATTCAAGTGTGCCACCCTTTTACCTTATACATTCCTCAGTTTACTCCCCTTTAATTCATAATAAAAAATTATCGTAATATAATTACTTTTTAATTATCACATTCTAGATCAATAACAATAGTCTCCTAACTATTACATATCACGTGTGTGTGTGTGTGTGTGTGTGTGTGTGTGTGTGTGTATATATATATATATATATATATATATATATATATATATATATATATATATTCGTAAATTTTCACGGGTACAGGTATGCAGGTCTTAGCATGTTCAGGGCTTTTCCCATGTAAGATTGAGAGTATCTTGGCAACATTTCGATGAGGTCCCACTTGCCATCTTCAGGCTGATGCTTTCGGCTTCGTGCTTGTGCGAGCAAAGAGTGATCGGAGCTGCCGTCTCCCTATTGGTGGGAAGTTTGGCTGTGTTGTCATTTCTTCATTGGTTAATGGAGTTGATGTTTGCAGATTGGCTGGCTTTTTCATAAGAACGTGTGTGGCTGAGGTATTGGCTCTGTGTCTATCAGCCTCCTGTGTTGTAACGACCTGGGTAATGGGCTGTGTGATGACCTTCTGAGTTCTATTGTTTTGACATCCTGGGTCTAGTGCTGTAATCTCCTGGGTCGTTGGCTGTGTTGCAACATCCTGAGGTTTTGTGGTGCAACCTCCTGAGTTCCGTGATGTGATATCCTGAGCGGGTGGCTGTGATGTGACGTTCTGGGTTTTGGTTTGGCTCCGAGTTTGAGGCCTGGATACGTGTTCATGGCATGTGTCCCTTTGCTTGGTTTGGGGGTTCATGGCATGTGTCCCTTTGCTTGGTTTGGGGGTTGGGGTGTGTGGCAGCTGATGATGCAGCCGTGGTATAGTTTCTGGACTGTGGTTGTCTTTCATCTATGGGATGGGTTTGGGTTTGAGTCTGGTGAGGGAGAATGGTAGTGGTGTCATGTGTTGTTTTGGGTCCGGTGTTGGTTTTCGTGGCTGGGACTCGTTTGTTGATAAGGGCTAGTTTCCAGATGTCTGGTAGGCTGGAGGCATCGTCCCATTTATTCATGTTATGGGGGTGTTTCTCTATTTCGATGGCTTCCCTGATTATTCTCTTGTTGAAGTGTTCAGTATTGGAGATTAATTTGGTTCCCTCAAAATTAATTTCATGTCCTGTGGCTTTAAGGTACTGACTTTATATATATATAAAGTCAGATTCCACATGGTATTTTTTCCCTCAATTGCATTCTAAATCGTCGTTTCAGAAGTATCAGTCTATTCAATTAATTTTTGAAATTGATATCAATCTTTCTATTACAATCCTTGTAATTCATTTTAACTTTATTCTTCTTTATGCTTATCATTCTTATCATAAATTTCCATTTCCACAATTATTCCAGTTAGAGCTATATGTGATTTAGCCTTGTGATTTAGAAAAGCGGCTGCAGATGGACATAATAGAAACATCAGTAAGCAACTGGTGCTCTACAATTGTGTTGTAGAACAAAGCCAAAGCCAAAGCCAAAGGGAGATATATGGTTTTGTGTAGACTTCAAGCAAAGAAACAAAGTGGCAGAGTTTGATAGCTACCTGATGCCCAGAGTGGATGAGCTCTTGGATATCCTAAGTTGAGCCAAACATGTATTCTCTTTGGGTTTAACCAAAGGATATTGGAATGTCCTATTGGAACACTATTCTAAAGGGAAGACAGCATTTACTATTCCACAATGCCCATAATCCATCATGACTTCCATGTGGGGGGGGGAAGCAAGGGAAAGCACTGCAGTAGTTTTACTACTCCATCAATAAACTAGTGGAGGGCGGTTTGTCGGCTTCGCGAGCGGCAGGGATTTGCGAAGCTGCGCGATCCCTGCCGCGCTAGCCGTTTTTGGGGCTCCGACCCACACGGGTACGGAGCTAGGCTGCCCTGCAGGGGCAGCTGAAGGTAGGGGGGATCCGGAGAAGGGACTGGGGGTGTTGCAGACCCCCTCCCTGGCCGGCAGAACCCCCTTTTCCCAGGACGGTGCAGCGGCGGTCCGTAATGGCCGCCACAAAGAAGCTGGCAGCCGGGTAAGAATGCGCAGGAGGAAGTGGAGAAAGTGATTGAGAGGAGAAAGTTTTTCTTGGCTCCTAGGACTTTAAGACATATTTAATAAAATTCCTGAAAAGTATGACTTTCTGAATAATACCTGCCAGAAGAGGAAAAAAGCGGCTGTTTGAAGGTGCTGAAAGGATAGCTTTCCCTCTTTTCCTACGGAATAAATAACTGGATATTAAGAAACCTATTTTTTTAGGTGGAAATTGGTTTTAAGCGATGAGTGGGAAGAGAGAGGATTAAAAAGAAAATATTTGTATGCTAAGACTTTGTTGGAGCAGATGCCTTAAGGATTTGAAGACTAGAATATATTGTAATAAGATTTTAAACAGATTTGGACTTTCTTTCTCTTTGATTGATATTACCCCAGAAGGAGAAAGTGAGAACTCTGCCTTGGTTTGAACTGATTGATAACTTTGGGACTGTTTTATCTTTTTTATTTTCTTTTGAATATTCTGGTTGTTGTAAGAAGAAAGAAGGAGAAAAGAAAAGAAAAGATTTATAATGGCTCTTTCTGTTGAGGAACTAAGAAAAGAATATGAACAAGCAAAAAAAAATGGTAAAGATGGTGTGGAAGAAGCTTTCCTTTTCTTAGAAATGGCGCTTACTAATTATCAACAAACATTACAACAGATGAAGACAGCAGAGGAACAAGAAAGAAAGGAAGGAGCCATCTTTAATGAATCTCAGAATTTGATCCAGAAAGAAGGAAGAGAGAAAGAAAAGAAAAGAAGAGAAAAGAAGAAAACTAAAGGACTTAAGGACTTAAGATCTAAAAAAACATTTAAGAAAGGGAAAAATAAAGTGCAAAACCAATATGATGATAGTAAACAAAGGGGAAAAGGAATACGACAGAGAAGGGAAGCCGGTAAGGCAGAGGCTAGAAGAAGGGGGGGTAGAAAGGTTTTTTGGGAGAAGAAAGAAAGGGAAAAGGTGGAGAAAAGCTACAATGTTTTGAAATTAAATGAAAAAAAGGAATTTTTTATGGATAATGGATAAAGTATAATTTTTTTTTTAAAAAAAAGATTTTGCAAGGTACATAAGATGAGATGGTAGTATTGCAATGGTTTAAGAGTTGATAAGAGATTAAAATGTTAAAATGTTTAAAAATGATTGGCTTTAAAACTTAATAATAGGAGAGGTTTAGAATATTGTTTTAATTAAAGAGTTTAATAAAATTATGGTATTGATGTTATTATAACATTTTTATTATAGTATTTTTTTTTAATATTTGGATTTATTGTCTAATTATGCACTTAATTGTGTTGGATGTATTAGTTAGATAGAATGTACCAAGCAAAATCTGATTGGGTATTAGATATTATTTTAAAGATTAATTTGATTAACTTAGGGGGGAGATAGAAAGGCATCATACTCTGATTAATGATTTCAGGAGAAACTGATTTTCTTTTTTTTCATAAGGAATGAGGCAAAGGGATGATAAAAAATGGACAAAAGATACAAATATAATGATTCAAAATAAGATGATTAATTAAGGTAGAATTAAGAAGTGTGAAATATGTGGAGAAGTTAATATAGAAGGCTTAGAATGGTAAATAAAATAAGTAATGATATGTAAGATGAGCATGAATATAATTGAAGTCCATGAAGAGAGAGACACCTGGGTCCAAGTTACTTTCCAAAAAGATTTTTTTTATGTTTTGTGTGTTGTGTGTATATGTCTTTTTTGGGGGGAGAATTAGTAAAAACTTGTAGAAATATAGAATGAGAATAATGGTAACTAAGTCAGAAAGAAACAGATGAAATAATAATAATGATATTGAATAAGAGTAAAGAGAAGTAAAGAGAAATTGAATAAGAGGTTTTGGTATGTTATATGGAAATGGTTTAAAATAGAATCATAATTTATCTGACTTGTTAAATTTACAATGGAAAAAGGTTTAAACATGTAATGAATAATGATAATTTGTGTGTTTTAAAAATTAATAAAACTTGTTTTAAAAAAAAAAATAAACTAGTGGAGGGAATTGGGAGGAGTGAAAAAAAAAAGTTGGAGGTTAAATGGTCCAGGCCAAAAATGGCCATGCAGGGCAGTAATCATTAACCTGGATGAGGGGCCATCCCAGCCACTGCACTCCAATGCTAAATGAAGGGCGGACGTTTCCCAGACAGAAGCCAAGCAGAAAAAGCAAACTAAGCGCTGCTGTAATTGGTACAAGCCAGAAAGGATTCCTTTCATCTTGGAGCAGGAAGACAGGAATGGAGATGGCATTGGCAGTGGACTGAGGATGAGGGCAGCACATCAGATCCTCCCTTCAGAAAATGATTGGGGTCCTGTACACCTGGTTGGCTACCTGGCCATGAAAATACTGAGAAGCAGACAGCTTTAGTCTGCCTAGTCACTAAGGGTCAACAGGGACTTGATGGCACTTATTCAAACAGTGAATCATCCAATGTCTTTTTTCTCTTATTCAGACTTCAAAGGACAATAATAATCTCATAATGTAAAAGAATTGTTATAATTTGTAATTTGGGGGACTAACTTTTATCCTCCTAGCTTGGCATTTTTCATTTTCAAAAGTCCTCAGTTCAAATTATAGTTGCTGAAAGAACATTCTTTAGACTTTCACTTGAAATATATTAAATTCCAAATCTTCCTAATCATATTCTGAATGGAAATAAAAATAGATCAAACAAGCAAGCATCAAGAAACAGCATTTACATGGAGGTTTCAGCAGTGTGGTTCATGTCCATCCATTCTCCATATCGTATAATATATTTTCCATTCAACCTATAATGAAAAAGAAAAACTTATTTTAGTCTATCAAAAGATAAGTGCTCATTAATGTCTCTTACTGGGGACCCACCTGACTATCTCTGAGGGTAGACCCAGACCACCAATTATCTGATCTACCCCACAGAATTCCAGGGTTTATTTGATTTCATTATTTCCAGGTACGTTTTGTATGATTCAAAAAACTTTATCTTCATTGTCTTTGGGAGGATTTGCTATCCTTATAAAACCTATCTATTTTAGGAGGGAATTATTATGGTTTGTCACATAGTCAGCCAGATATTCAGACTGGATTTGGCAGTTTTGTCTACCTACCATGTTTCCCAAAAAATAGGACCTATCCCCAAAATTAGCCCTAGCCTCATTTTTAAGTGTGTGCCTAATATAAGCCATACCCCAACAATAAGCCCTTGTGAAAGGGTGAGTATGGCCAGCACAGGAGATCGCAAGCGTGCATGAGCTGACAGTATCTGGCAGCAACTGCAGCCTGTGCAACACAGGTGAGTTGATTACCTGTCCAAGCAGCAGGCAAAGGTAGAAGTGGAGGGAAACATACAATGTGCCATATGGGCCTTGGGAAAGCCAAATGGGTGGGCCGGAGTGGCGGCTGGCTATAGGAGGCTCATCTTCGCCTCCTCATCTGCAGCACCAGCAGCAGATGCAGGCAGAGATGTGGGGGGTGGGTAAGGCTGTGTCGGCGCAGGAAAACAAAGCCAGTGGGCTGGAGCAGGCGGGTGGCTATGGGAGGCTTGCCTGTGGCCTGTGCAGTGCATCACAATCACCTGCCTTAAGTCATTTATTAAGGTTCTGTCTTAGGCCTAGTACTCTTCAATATCTCCATAAACAACTTAAATAAGGGAATAGAAGGGGAACTTACCATATTTGCGAATGATACTAAGCTGGCAGAAATAGCCAATGCCCTAGATTTGGGGTGTCAAACTGGTGGCCCATGGGCTGGATTTGTCATGTGCAGTCCATGCCCACCCCAGCTCCGTAAAGGGAAAACATCGCAAAACATCACATGATAGCAACATGACGCAGTGAGTTTGACACCCGTGCCCTAGATCAGGGATCCCCAACCTTTTAGATGCCGCGGCCCGGTTCCGGCATCAGCTGGGCGCCGCGGCCCGGTACCGGCGTCAACTGGGCGCCGCCATCTTTTTATGACGAAAAAGCGCTTCCGGTGACGTCACCGGAATCGCTTTTTCGTCAAAAAAGATGGCGGCGCCCAGCAACCAGCGGCCCGGTAAGGCTTGTTCCGCGGCCCGGTACCGGTCCGCGGACCGGCGGTTGGGGACCCCTGCCCTAGATGATAGGCTCAAGATTTAGATGGATCTTGACAGACTGGAACACTTGTCCCTATCTAGCAAAATGAAATTCAATGCAGAGAAAAGTAAAATCTTATATTTAGGCAAGAAAAACCAAAAGTACACATATAGACTGGGTGAAACCAGGCTTAATAGCAGTAATTGTGAGAGGGATCATGGAGTCTTAGTGGACAACCAGCTAAATATGAGCAAATAGTTTGCAATGGCAGCCAAAAATGCCAATGCAATCCTAAATTGCATTAACAGAGGGATTCAATCAAGATCAAGTGAGGTACTAATTCCACTCTATAAAGCCTTAGTAAGACCACACTTAGAATACTGCATCCAGTTTTGGTCGCCACACTATAAAAAAGATGTTGAGACTCTAGAAAGAGCAACCAAGATGATAAGGAGACTGGAGGCTAAAACACGAAGGTTACAGGAACGGAGCATGGCTACTCTAGTGAAGAGAAGGACCAGGTGAGACATGATAGCAGTGTTCCAATATTTGAGAGGCTGTCACAGAGAGGAGGGGGTCAAGCTATTTTCCAAAGCATCTGAAGGACAAACAAGGAATAATGGATGGAAACTGATCGAGTAGAGATTCAACCTAGAAATGAGAAATTTTCTGACAGAACAATAAATCAATGGTACAGCTTGCCTTCAGAAGTTGTGGGAGCTTCATCACTGGAAGCTTTCAAGAAGAGACTGGACTGCCATCTGTCAGAAATGGTTTAGAGTCTCCTGCTTGGGCAGGGGTTGGACTAGATGACCTACAAGATCCCTTCCCACTCTGTTAATCTGAATGGTATGAGAACGGCATGGAAGGAAGGCTAACCTAGGACACAAAGCAGTATTTGGATATTGTGCTATCCCCCCCCCCGCGCGCACACACACACACACACGTAACAGTGGTTTAATGAGTTTATTAATATTTCCCACCAATTTCCTTCACCAAAAATCCAGAGCTGTCCCAATTAAGTCCAGCCAAAAGCAGACCAATGCTAGTCCACAGAGCAATGGCCAATGAGTTCACAGGGCACTTGAAAGTTTCCCAAACAAGATAAATCCACCTGGAAAAATGAAAATCCACAATACAAGCATGTTCATGAGGCAGGAATAGTCCAGAGTTCACAAGGCACAATCCAAAGTCAAGGCAGCAATCACAACCACCAGGAAGCATGCAGCTAGGAAATAAACACACTCCCAGCATTCCTTCCATCTATTTGCTGTGCTAAATAGCCAGCTTCTGGTGCAGCCCATCAATAGGAACAAGGCTACTTCCCCATAAGTAGTCAGGCTGACCTTCACTGCTCCTGCCTTTTCCCTGCCCTACATTCTTGGATCAGATACAGAAGGCAATTCCTCTTTCACAATGCTGACTGGCTTCAGTGGTGGGCTTTCCCCACCTGAAGCCTTAGGGCTATCCTGCTACAGCTGTACTTCAGCCAAATCACTCTCAGCTGGCTGCTCATCCAGTTTCTCTCCTATCAACCACTCCCCCTCACTTGGACTTGTAACCCCTGCATCGGAGCCATTGACTCTCCTCCTGATATGCCTGGGACTGGTTCATCCAGAACAGGGGCAGGAAAGAGCAAGAGATTACCGGAGTGGCTTGAAAAGTGTTACAGTATATTCAAAGTGTAGATCATGTGATTGGGGCACCAGCACAACAGTAGCCATTAACACTGAAGGAACCACAACATCCACAAATTTTATTACATCAGGAAAAAAGGGTTCCAGATTTTGGAAAACGTTATAAATTATCCATTTGAGGTATCTTGGTTCAAAGACAGTTGCCCTATGATCAGCTGTTTTATCCACTTAAAGTTAACCACCAGAGTTTTAGTACTATATAAATATCTGAAAAGAAATAGGAACTCTGTACTCTTGAAGGAACAGAAAGTTATATATTGTTATATATTGCAATTGGAACTGCTTCTCCCTGGGTATTATTAACGTATGGCATTGTTGCAGTAGCCAGGAGACCACAATGCTTTTGCGGAGTAGTAGTTTGCCTTGTCAAGGTACCAGCTTTGTTGTAGGAGGAGCCACAGGAGGGAGATCTGGCTTCTCATGAGAGAAAAAGTTGAGCAGCTTTTCCTACAGGGTCACCTAAGGCCCCCTCCCTTCCCAGAGCTGCCTCGCAAATGGGCACTTGGGAATGTTCAGAACTGTCAGGAATCTGACTGCCTGCACAGAGCACCAACACATCTCCCCAATGAAGTGGTACCTATCTATCTACTTGCAGAGAGCCTGCTTTGCAACTGTTAGGAGGACAGAATATGAGGTGAGTGACAGGTGGTTACCCTGCTATAGGGTGCTGGGACCCAAATCGTTGCAGAAGAGACCATTACCAGTGTCATTAAGCAACGGTGTCTCTTTCCCTGGATATATTTCCAGATGAGAAAAACTTAAGAGATGGTTGGCACATAAAACTGGGGGGGGAAAAAAACAATGGTCACTTACTTTACTGTCTCAATATTACATTGAGGATGTTTGAGCCCTTTACACAGCAGTTCCATTTTTTTGTAATCTAGATTCTCGAGGAACAATTCTAAACTTATCAATCTCTGGTTTTTCCTGAATAATTCTGCAAGATACCTGCTACAGGATTCGGTCAAGAACTTTCCATCAAGCCTGCAGAAAGGATCCGAAAAATAATAATTATTTCCTGAAAAATAATCATAGTATAGATCAATCTGAAAGGATAAAATACACTTACCGTAGCTTCTTTACTGTACATTCTGAATGTTTGAGGCCATCACACAGCAGTTCCATTGTTTTGTCATTTGCATCCTTGAGGAACAAGTACAATACTCTCAAGCTATGGTTTTTCCTGAGTACTCCTGCAACATGCCTGCTGCAGGATTCTGTCAGGCTCTGAATATCAAGTCTGCAGAGAAAAGCCGAAAAAATTACAATTACCTGTTGAAAAACAAGCATGGACTGTATTTTTATAGAAATGGAAGGGAATGTGATCATATA